ACGTGCTATTCCTTATGTTATTTTATAGTTACCTTATAGTTTGTCTTATCTGTTTGGGAAGGGCATATCGGTAAGTTGGATATAGAGTTAGTTAGAGGAGAGAGGGAATATGCGCGATGCGAATAGAGAGGGAGGTTATAATCAGTGTACTGGGAATCATTACGTTTGTTGAATGCATTTTCTGGACTTTCTCTCTTCTCTGTTATCAATTTGCATCTTTCACGATTCTGTCAAAGCATATTTACGAGATTCTAGATGTAGATTTATTTTAATTCACACTTATTCACATCTGTCTTATTTGTCAAATTTAATGATTTAATTTTCTCAGTCGTGCATTTTCCTTTCGTCTTTGTTGTTTATTATGGTCTGTTATTTTCGTTATGGTGGCTCGCTATAAGATTTAAGCGGTGGGACCCATGTTTTTTAAATGAAAATGCCAAAAATAACCCCAATGAAAAAAAGTTAAGGTCAAAAGTTTATGGGTATTTTTGACTCTTAATTTTTTTGTTTTGATTGGAGGTATTTTAGTAATTTCATTAAAAAAGCATGGGTCCTGCAGTTAAAAAAACAGACGTTAACGGTATTGGTATTATTGACTTTTTTTAAACTTTGATGGGTAGATTTGAATCCAAAAAAAATTTATGGTGTTGAGTGAACTTTTAGTAAAAGTTCGTAGGTATTTTTTACTCTTAACCCTTGAATGATTTATTTTTTTTAAAAATCTATGATATATGTTACTCTTTTTGGTCTTAAATATAATACCTAGTTTATAGTGTAAACACTATAAAATGAGTTTTATATTTAAAATAGGAGGGGTATTGTTTTATTTTACATAAATTATTTGAACTATATATCCGCTCTGTTCCTATTTACAAAAGAATTTTGAGAGTGTAGTTTTGTTCCTACATATAAAAAATTAATTATTTTCTTATTTAAGTATTTATTATAATTTTCAGATATGTTCTCATTAAATAGGAGAGGTATAATCTGATTAATAAATTAGTTAATTTGGTTAATTTTCCTAATTAATGATATTATTGAAAAAAATTTCTATATATTATATATTTAAAATTGATAACTAATGTTTACTTATTCTTCTTAAGAAAGTATGTATTTATTCCTTACGAAAATCAAGGAATATTTTATCAAGGGTGATCCATCTGAGGAGGGGGGATGCGTCCCGGCCAAGAATGCGCGGATATATTTAATTTTTAGGGTTAATATAATTTCTAATTTCTCAAATTTATTTTTATTTTGGTTTGGGTTTCTTGAGTTTCAAACCATAGGTTTTGATCCTTGTAGAGGTAAGATAGTCTAAATTTTTATTAGATTATACTATTATAGAGACTAATATTTTAAATGAAAAGAAATTTAAGAGACCAAAACTTACAATTTAAAACTTAACCCTCTATTTGGATAGGAAGAAAAGTTGAGAGGAAAAAAAATGAGATGAGAGAAAATAGAAAAAAAATTAGAAAGAAAATATTATCATCTTTTATGTTTGGATGGATAAGAGAAAATAGAAAGAAAAGAAAATGAATAAATATATGAATAATTAAAATACCCTTTATGTTATAACAGAATATATCTTGATTAAAATCAAATTAAATATCATAATGAAAAACCACATTTACATTAACATAATCATATAATTTAAAATCAAATTATTTGATAAAGATATATTATCATGTTATTATATTTTAATATCAAATAATTTTGTAAAAAAAAACATTTTTTTGTAATGTAATGCTAAAAAAACAAAAACAACAACTCTGCTTGTTTTTTTTTTTCAGTTTATTTTAGAAGGATTTTTACAGTTTTAGTTATTTTATTTTTCAATCAAAGAAACACAGAAAAAAGACTTGATAATAATAAATAAAGTGAAAAATAAAAAAAACAAATAGGTATTATTTTTCTGAAAAAACATATGTAAGTGTAGATAGAAAAAATATGTTTTCTTCTCATTTTCTCTCTATAAAAAACATATGTAAGTGTAGATAGAAAAAATATGTTTTCTTCTCATTTTCTCTCTATATATAGAGAGAAAAGTTGGGGAGAAAATAGGCTATGGAACACACCTCATTTTCTTTCTTCCTATTTTTCTTTCCTAATCCAAACAGGCGAAAAACCACTTCTCTCCTCATTTTATTAGTTTTCCTTCTTCTTTTATTTTCTTTCCATCCAAACATGACATAAGGGATCAAAACTAAAATGAAAACAAATTTAAAAAATTAAAATTTGTATTAATCTTAATTTTTATTACTGAAAAAAAGGACACTGCCTTGGTAAGTAAAATAGGGAAAAGTCCCAGCTACCTGACCCTGTTTCATGCTTTCATCTGCCGCTTCAGTGTAGGAAGACAAAACCCTAACTATAGCGCGAGCCAGAACACAACCGAACGATTAGACATCCGTGAGCACAGGTAGAATAGATAATCATGGGTGGAAAATGTCCACATAGAAGCGTAAAGAAGCGAAGGTATTCTCACAAGACGGCTCGTCGCACCAAATTCCTCCACAAGGATATCCTTCTTAATTAATTATGTCAATCACGCCTTTTTTGTGATTTTCTTACTTATCTTCGATTTCCCTTCGACTCTGGTTTCTTCTCTGATTCTGTATTATTTAGTTTGATTGTGATTCTTGACTGGTTATTGGGACACGAGATGATATGGTTTATGATGAGCTGAAGATGCCGAATGAAGAGAAGCAGCGATTACCTTTAGATGAAGATTTACCTGGGATGGGCCAGTTTTACTGCCTTCACTGCGAGTAATCTTGCTCTTCGTTGCCTACTTTCCCCCCCCCCTCGATGGCTTCTTGAAGCAAAGCTAAAACGGTACTAGTTATAATCACTGAATCGATAACAGTTTTCGAATTCATGGGTCTGCAGTCGATACTTCTCGAATGTGGCCGTGAGGGACGAGCATTTTAGTACCAAACGGCACAAGAAACGGTAGGCGACGTTTGTTCCCTTTGTTGCTCATTCCCTTTTTAGCTTTTTCCTCCCTATTTGTTTAATATTTGATGAACATATGCTTATGTTGTAGTGCTTGTTTTAAATTTTGAGGCTACTTCTGCTTTGAAGCTATCCATTTTAGGTATTATGTGGCAAATAAAAGTTGCATGAACTGCTATCTTTTGCATCATGCTGTTCAATTGTTGGGGAAAAAATTATACGAGGCAATATCTTGCACAGGCTGTTGAGGCTGATTCAATAGGTTCTAGTACCAATGTAATATGCTTTATCCACCATTAGCCATTTATGAATTTGGGTTTTAAATGTCAGCAGTTCCGCTTCAGTTTGGTATTTTGCTCTCATGCTTCATGCCTAATGAATTTGTTAGAAGTCATTTTTTTCCAATTATCGTAGTGCGATGAATGACAATGTCAGCTGCGACCATTGCTAGACTTAAAGCTATTCCATCAAAGGTATACAAGTTTGATGGGCAGTTGGGTATTTATTTTAACACGACATTAAAGCTATTCCTATCAAAGGTATATAAGTTTTGATGGGCAGTTGGGTATTTATTTTAACACGACGTATTCTGTATGCAGTGTAAAACAAATGATGGGACCTGCACCACATACTCAACTTGATGCCGAATTAGCTGCAGGGATGGGCATGCCAGATAATGGCCCAAAGCTTATGTCTATGTGATTTGGTTTATTAACGATTTTTGTTGAGGCTGAGGTTTCTTTGTTCATGGGAGATATGATGTTTACTCTCCCCGCTCCAACTGGTTCAACAAAATCAATCCCTTTCAACGGAGTAAGCTTAGCTTTTAGATTCAATTCCTGTCAATACATTTCCAGGTGCAGCTTATTTTGGGAGTGACCCAGTAGAAAGTAGTTCTTCCTTCATTAGAGATCAATTCGTTAGGATTTTTATTTAAGTAGTGCTTGGTTTTCCTTTTTATTGATGGATATCTATTAGCTGTCTTTTGTTGCTTGGTTAGCTATTTTTAACTTCTTGAAATGAAAAAAGGGGATTACTCAAGTATTCGTCCATCCTGTCAGCAGCTCCATCATGGCTACTTCAACCTTCGTCTAACCCCTTCTCCTTGCATCCTTGTCACAAATGTACGTCACAAATTTAGGGAGTATTGGGATAGAAACAAAATTATAATTTTGAAAGTGTTTTTACAGTGTATGTACAAAGTAAATATGTAGAGGAATTTATTTTGATTTGGAAAAATGTGATTCTTAAAATTACTTCCTAAGCAATCCAAACACCGCGATTGGATTCAGTGGCTCCATTCATCCTAGCCCTCTTCAATAGACGGAGGGCGTTCTTCCGCTCAGATTTGGAAACCAGCTCCATTGAACCCTTCCTCAGTGCTTGCTAGAAAACTGTTGATGGTGTTCAACGGTGAGCTCCACCATGTGATGACTCTAACGGTGATCACTACCGTCTACCAAGCGACGGCACGGTGCAACGGTAATGATGTTTGCTCAAAGTCGGGTTCTACTTGGTTCGAGACGGGTGAAGGACTAATCAGCGATGATATGCAAGGATGAACAGGGCCTACAACTAAGCCTGATTGCCTTTGTAGTAAATAAGCCTGACCTGAGGCCTTTTTAAGAGGCCTTTTAAGATTTAAGGCCTAGCCTAAAAGTTTGCAAGACCTAATTAATTGTTTTTAGAACTTTGTTTATATTAAAATATGTAGGCCTAAAGTGTACATTTGCCTAGGTTTTAATAGGCTTTATGACTTTCAAAGTTTGCAACACAAGGTTTTTATAGAAACCTACATTGTAAGCAGGGTTGAGTCTCAGAAAAAAGCCGATGCTTTAGGTCTCCATGCAGGCCATATCTGACCTAACCTCTTTCCGTCCATGGGACGTTTTCGAGTCCATCAGTCATAACAGTGATAAACGAATTTTGAGGGGCATTCTCGTCTTTTTAATTACTATTTTTATCCATCCTTGACCTCAAGATTCCATTAAAATTTTTCATCATGCGTAAGCTCCAAGAGAGAGAAGAAATGCTGAAAAGTACCGCGATAAGAGCGTAAATTGAAAACTCGGGCTCAGACGCATGATAATATTTACATCCATCCGGTTTCTGGTGCTTTTCCCTTTAAAATAGTATACGCCATGGCACAAGCCAACGAATCAAAATATTTTCACTCTCCAAAGTCGGCTCTGACAAGTCTAAAGTCGTTGTCCATATCCTGGGGCAGGATCTTCCATGGGCTGGATTTTTATCTGCTGGAATCCAATCGTGCCTACACAGTCACTGTTTCCACATCAATCAGGCGTCTCTACACAAGATTCCATTTGAATAACCGGTCTGCGGAAATGAATATACAAATACAGGCGTTGAGAACGCAAATGTCCATTCATTATTCCGTCTCCAAATGCTGACAAGATGCAGCAGCAGCCGTGATTTGGTCCTTTATAGTGAACCGGCCTGAGTGATCCCTTACGCATAGTCCTGTCCATTCCACCCCCAAAATTTTACTGTTTCCTCCCGAAGCTTTGTAATGATAATCATGCAAATATAAGAAAACTCTAATTTACCTGGTTAGATACATTATCCAAAAAATTCAATGAATAAAAAAAAACCTGGTTAGATGATAGAGCAAATACTCCATAACTAGAGAGAGAGGAGAAAGGAATGAATAGATATACTTGTTAGTATAGCAGGTACTCTACGGTAGCAACAGATCTCTAGCTGGGTATAGCGGACCACCAATCAACAAGCACAGAAATAGCATCATTCGAGTCCTCCTTTAACTGAAAACCAGATACACTCGCTGATGGAAACTTCCAGTACAGGCGGAATAAAAATTGAATTCAAATAGCTGTTAAACATACCAACTTGAGGTGATTATGCAAAGAACCATGTAACATCTTCTTAAGCTTGTCACACTGATCTACCATGTGACCCGCTTTAATCAACTCCTCAAGTTGATACAGTAGTCGCTCAATTGTTGTGTATGGGAACCAAACTGCGAATGGTTTTTTCCGTCTGATTATATCTGCTGGTCTCTGCAGAAGGTTGATAAAACAAATAGGGAAATGTTACTACAACTACTTGCATCTCGAACATACACTGCCTATATCTAATGCATGGTATTTATAAATCACCCATCATCCAGTGGTCATTTGTAAATTACCCCCAAGTAAATTATAAATGCAGATCCTTATAATATAGAGCCCAATATTTTGAGCAGAGTCCACAAATAAGGTTACAATCGTTAGCGAAGTTCAAATGACGCAAAAAGGTTGTCTGAGAAAAGAAACGTTAACTTTACATGTCATCAAGTGCCAGGACTTGGCAAAAAATTACGTCAAGCAAAATATATTAAAATGGAAAATTTGGTTACAAATTAACCACTCTTATTTCCTAAACTAGGAAATGATACCAGTATGCATATATCAGAATGAAAACGATCAATTCAGTCCACAACATCAAGAAATAAATTACCATCGATGCAAATGATTCTAAGAACTCCAGCAACAGATTAGTAGCTTCTGTAAATCGACCATAGTTAACATAAAGTTGAAATAAAGATGCAGGATTTGATTCTCGACCAGCCATTCCCCACATCTTTTCTCTTTGACCCTCCTGCCATAACTCATGTAAACAATATCAGACTGGCAATACAAAACACTGTTATAAGATGAACCAGCAAAGATTACCCCTCATCACGAAGATGCTGAAGCAAGATGGGCATCATATAGAGAAACAGAGAAGGGTGTAAGTAATATCTGAAGTCAGAATTGTAGAAGAATTTCACTTTGAAATTTCTTATTTAATTTCCAACAAAATAGCTGCAATTTAAAAGAGAGCCAATCACCCTCAAGAAAATAGATATGAACCCAAAAAAGGGGACTCGTAAAGTAGATTCAACCGGAAAAAAGAGGATAAAAATGAATTTGACTTCAGCTTATTAACGAACATAAACCAATGGGACTTTTATGAAGAATTTGTAGGTATTTGTCTTCACCTATAAGCCACAAACCAAACCAAGTAGAAAGATTCAAGTGGTGCATTCCAGATAGTTTCAAATTTGGAAATAATCTAATTTTGTTTTGAGGAGCCCAATTTTGTTTCAAATAGTCACTCAAATCGTGCATGAATGAACAGCCCTTGAAAAGTGCAACTTCAGCCAAGATTATTACCTTAAACAATTGAACCAGCCAACGAGGCAAATCAATCTGAGCATCTGCACGAAGAAGAGTTTCAGCAACAATAACAGGTAGTCTTCCATGAAATTCACAATATTTTCCCTGCAATTTGGGAACAGTAAGAGTCAATCAGGGAGAGCTGTATCTGTAAGAAAGAACAGAAGCAGTTTTGATGATTGATTGGAAACCACAAGGTCATTTTTAAAGCCCAACTAGTTATTGAATTGGTCAAGCCACTAGTTTCACCATACTGGAACCAATTGTATTTATATAATAAAATATTATGCAACTGAAAAGATCATTAGAATGCAGGAAGAAAACATTATCATCCTAAATATAACTCTATAACAAAAACATATTAAAAGAAGTCTGAATTGGTCAAACGCAACCCAGTCAGCTTTCTGATTTTTGTCCCGTTTCATAAGTTTTTTGATTGGTTCGATAATGACCAGTTCCATGTTTGTTTAGTCCAGTCCCAAGTACAGTGCATAAGATATGCTTGACAGAAGTTTCCCATGAAATATTTTCCTATCTTCCCCCAAGCTGACCAACTGATTGAGACCATTATAACTTGCAGAAGATACTAACAAGGTAAAGCTCCAGAGTTGCCCAATGGCTATTCCTGTCAGGTTGTGCGGTTGTAGAAACTGTACGAGGTGAACCATGGACAACCATTTCAAGCTTGGATGACGTCAACAAATTACTGTGGGGTCTGTAATCATTCAAAAATTCATTAAGTTATGCAAGTCATAAAATGAAAATAGTCTAGTAAAAACTTTGCACATGTACCAAATACCAAATTATGAACAAAAAATAATATTAAAAAGAAGCTATCAGATTAAACACAATATAGGGTAAACATATTCATCAATGCATAATGAAAACGATAAGAAAAAGAATGTCGAGTGTAACAACTTACTCAATCCAAGTGGGTTCTACTTTATCAAGACAGCATCTCAAAGATATAGAAGCGAAAACTCTTTCAAGCTCCCTAAACAGAGTCCCAGTCACGCATGTAAGGATACCATAAACAGATTACCAATAAATAAATAAAATATCAACAAATAACTAGTCACAAACAACTGCAATTCAAGTGTTGGATGCAAACCTCTTCAATCCTGAGCCCTTGAAAAATCTGAGAAGAATTGTGAAGGCCATATCACATAAATTGTTTTGGACAAGGAGATCAGCCAAATCTGACAGTGCCCCTTCTTTACCTTCAAAAGAAAAAGAGAAACAAAGACTAAAAATTGTATAGAACAAAACAAATTCTAGCAAAACTATATATCAATCACCCAAAAATGGACAGATGTTTCGCAAGAATTTCCACAGAGAATGAGCAAATGAGAGTTACCAGTATATGTCCACTTAACATTTACCAGCGACAGCATATATTCTGCCGATGTTAGCACAAACTCATGTTCAAGTTTTTCAATATCAATAGAAGATGTCCAGCATTGATGCTCAGCATCACTTTCAGCCGATACTGCATAACAACATTATGATCTCAAAACAGTATGAAGGCGAAATGGCAAATTATGAATTATATCCAGTAGTGAAATAGGACAAGAAACCTTTCTTTGTCCCTCCTAGTCCCTTTTATTCCACTAAAAATACATAGGAAAATTCAAAGACTTGATATAAATCATGTAAACTTACAATCTATATCTACAGTTCTCCTAGCTTTCTTACTCGGATACTGTTCACTCATAAGACCACTTCCTTCGGCTGGTGGATCAATCCAGGCATGTGCTGGATGAACAAGATGCAAGGCATTAATAGCAGCAGAGAGTGCATTCAGCCTCTCTTGCAATATCAATGAAGAACCCTGGTAATCTTCTAGAGACACTTCAGTTTTCAAGCGAGCTGAATATAAGTACATGTAATTCGCTGCCCTGCGCCAATTATGTTGATGCATTTGAAATGTATAAAGCAACTTGTACAAGTTTGGCTTTGCAGATATATCTGATCTTTCAGCCTACATCCACAGCAAAATTTCTAAACGTTAACTCAAAGAAACTATAATTTTTACAGCACTGAACCTACTCAGTCAAGGTCAACACCTTCCAAGCAAGCTCCTGCTCTACCTTCTCCATTAAACCAGCAAGGGGAAGCTTATTACTGCAAAGAATCTACAAATACAAAATGAATATTAGGAGGGCATGAAAATTCTAGTTGAAGCATGTGAACTATTCACAAAACTTTCCAAAAAATAAGAAAAACTCGTGTAGAATAATTAAGCAAAAGTTACAATTTTTTGGCATATTAAGCCTAGGACAATGTCATTCAAGCTACTTCTCTTAGAAACCAGAAAAAAAGGTCATAAAAACAAATTCTACAGATTTAATAGTGTGATCTGGAACCAAATAGAAAGAACAGCTGCACATAATTGGGACCTTCACACGCAAACGCACACCCCTGCACACTTGTGCGCACATGAACACATTTACACCCAAATATTCAATCTCCCAATCACTTTCAACCTAATACCAGTAGTCACAATTTGAAGATTCTGTGATCCTTTCTTTGATGAAATGGCCATAAAACATAGAAAACTGATTGAAAAGTAAAATCTGAAAAACTCTCCATGTGTAACCAAACTTGATAGCACCTTGTTCAAAAACAATGATTAGATGTCTCAAGCAGATAAAGAAGTGGAGTCTGAAAAATTCTTCACAAGTAACCAACCTTGATGGCACCTTGCTCATAAAGGACAATGACAAAACGTCGCAAGCAGATGTATTTGCTCTCCTCATCCGGATTTGAAATTATTGCACAATATGCATCAAAATAGCGGCCAAGATCTAAGGCAAATTTGAAGACATTTGACCACAGCCGTCCCTTGATGACTGTTGCTGATTCATCAGTCGAGTCAGTCATGTGCTTTTCATCTTTTATACAAAGAGCTTCATCAACTTGTTCAAGTGCAGCAAGAGCAAACTGGCAGGCACCTTCATTAATATTATATTGTTCAAATAATTGCATCGCCCACTGATAGTAATAAAGCTTCCACTCAGCAGTCGATGCACAACCACCTGTATAAGAACAAGAGAAAGGGTCAGAAAAAGATGCAACTAAGACCTGAGATTGCTTGTATGTTTCAGATTATTGCAGTTTAGGCCTAAATGTACCCACCAAAATTAAGACATGGCAATCCTATGTCATGAGGCAAACTCTGCAAAGCCTCTGATGCACCATTCCCATATGGAGACCTGAATTGAATTGAAAATTTTTTAACTTGTCGGAGAATAACAAATCCTCGCAAGTCACACCAGGAACATCAAGAAAAATCTATAAAATAAAAGACACAACTAAAACCCTGTACAAAAACATTAATATGATAGAGCTATCAATATCATTCAATAGCTTGTAGAAGCTAGGCCCTTGCTACTTTCAAAAGATTTCTTGATGTAGACCACTCTTATCTGCTTAAGTCCCCATTCCATCCCTTCACTTGGGTTACAAGTGGGCTTTCGGCTTATACAGATGACTCTTGTTTTAGTATTTGTTTTCATTGTATTCAAATAGCTAAATGTTCCTTAAGACTGATTCATATGTTCAATGTCGAACTGCAGATAAAATATCAATCACCTCATTTAATTGATTTTAGGCTTAATTAATCCGCAAGTCCTTATAGTTTCAACGAATTTTGAAACAGGTCCCTATAGTTTTTTTTCTTTTTATCAGGTCCTTATACTTTTATTTTTTTTTAATTAGGTCCTTGTTTATTTTTCTTTTAATTAAGTCCTTATAAATTCACTAAATTTTTAATCAGGTCCATGTAGTTTTAATTTTTATTTATTAATTAAATATAAGCTTAATTAAATAGATTAATACTGAAATATAAAATATTAATAATTAAATTAAATTAATAATTATGTAATAAAAAATTAATAGAATTAATTAATTCAGGAAAAATTTTTAGAACAATTAATTTTTTTGCTGAAAAAATTAAAATCATTATAATAATTCAATATCTTTAGAACATTATTGTTTATAAACTAATATTAAATAATATATACCATTTTATGTTTATATAATAGTACTATTAGAATTTATAAAATAAAGAATAAAAAATTTAGGGACTTGATTAAAAATAAGGTGAACTTATAAGGACTTGATAAAAAGAAAAATAAATATAAGGACCTAATTAAAAACAAGTGAAAGTATAAGGACTTGATAAAAAGAAAAAAAACTATAAGGACCTGATTCAAAATTAGTTGAAACTATAAGGAGTTGTGGATTAATTATCCTTTGATTTTAAATATCAGAAGAATGATGTTGACAAAGTAAAGGGATTATATAGTTATTTTATCATGTATTAAGAAATTCAATTAGTCAATACCAGTAAATAGTTTAATTGATGTGTTTAATTATACTCTTATGACTTGGTCTATGAGTTTTTATGAAGTCACACAGTTAAAAGAAAAATTGTGATTATTTAGCTACTATTTATATGCACTGCAATGTACAGAAGGTTTCAGAGTTGTCATTGATTGAATCACTGCTAGCGCCAATCCCCTTCACTCACTTTTCACCCCTTTCCTCTAATTTGTCCTAGCACATATCAATTGATATCCCTGCTATGATTGATTCACATCACGAGGTCTTCTGAGACAAGTCAAATTAAGCAACTTCTTAAATCACTTGGTCAACAGAGGCTCAAAATGCTAATTAAAAATGGACCAGACTTGGAGAGAGTTCATTGAAGTGTATGTGTTCATAGTCTACAGTAAATCTTTCCCAAAAGACAAACCTTTCAAGAGGGCAGAGCCTCTAAACTTTCTAGCCCACTTGCACTCCATACTATCCAACGTGGGGATCTATAGGAGCCAAACGATTCATCACTTCCCACTAAATACATTTCGCATGGAGGACTCCAGTCCGTGGCATTGAGCAAAAAAAAAAAAAAAAAACTCATCTTTTCATTGGAACCCAGAAATAGGACCAAAGTTTTATACATAAAAAATTAGTTCTCCATATCAATGCAAGACCACATAATACACTGAATGAGAAAAAAAAAAAAGTATAGTTTGTTCAAATTATTTTACCTGAAGAAACAGCGAACAGCATCAGAGACCTTTTTCTCTTTCAGAGTGCCATGCAATCCACACTGCACCTGTGCAGAAGGGCACAGCCTAGAAGATGCTGTCGTATGCACCATCCACCATCAGCTTCTTGAATACTTTGGGATGTTTTCTCCTTTTGCAAATGAGCCTCCGCCATCATAAGCAATTGCTGTTGAAATGTTTAAGATATAGATAATTTTAGTCAAGGCAACTCAGGAGTAGGTTAACCCCAAAAAAATATAAATAAAAAAGGACTCAGGAGTAAGGAATATAAAGGAGGATTGAATTGTCGCTCCAGAGAAAAAAGAAAAAGGAAAGAAAATAACCTCAGCAGCACCATACTGCCCATGCTTGAAAAGGATAAAGGAGAGATCAATTGAACGGCTCAAGAAGGTAGAAATTCCTCCAGTCTGACCATAGATTATCCAACTGACAAAGTCTCTAACATTGACAACAATGCCCTGCATATTTGAAAAGTATTCTGAAGGAAGCTGGTTACCATCTTTTGATGAACTAGCATTCAGGAAGAAGATAAAAGCCAGTGTGGAATCACATCTTCCAAGCTTATCATTCCATGACCGTTTTCCCATGTTATTGTCTGCATCATAAATAGAATGATTAACACTATATTAGCAGTAAATGCGTGTTTTCAATTATATAATCTCCAAGTGTATAAAAATGCAAGTTTGAGAAGTTCTAATCACTGAACAAAAGCACTTTTCTGCATTATTAAAGATTGGTTGATAAAACCAGCTGTATTGACTCATTCATTTGAATGGATTTAATGACAAATATAATTGAATACACTGACATGTAAGTCAAATCTATGGGACTTACTTTTTGACACTGACATTCACAAGGGTAGTCAGAATCGGGTATAACTAAAGAATTCCAACAGAGTAAGGACTAAAATATTCTAGTATGATGCATTTTGTCCCAATGCGGAATTGTAATGCAAGGCCTTCATCCTTTTCAAAAGTTACATTTGGCAATTGAACATGTTGTACAACAGCATACCTATGTGCCAAAAAATGCTAGTTTTACCCAATTTGTCAAATAGTTCGATGCATCCAAATGTTAAAAAGCTTAATACAGTAAGACCTGGTACCACGGGGGTTTTGTCTGATAACTTAACCTAGACTATGTATTTCTCAAGAGCCCAGAGTCTAATTCATTAAGACTTATTTTTCTTTTAAAAGACTGGCACAAATATATAGTAAGCCTTATGAAAGCCGTCAATTTTTTTTTCTCCAAGGGAAGAAAGCCAGACATGCAAGCCTGCATTCTTCACACAGCTAAATCCAATTTTGCCATATCTAAACTCGCTAAAGGGGTAGGTAATTAGAAGAAAGATACATAATAAAACCTACCAATTTGTAATGAAGAGAGTTTATAATTAAAATCCTCAATCACAGGTGGTGCAGATGGCGTGATAGCAAAGAAGATGATAACTAGCCACTCAAAAATAGTTTCTTGAAGCATAGGAACTAACTCAATTTGTATTCTGGTTATATCATGATGTGACATGTGGATCTGCAAAAGCAAAAAAAATAATATCAGAAAGAGGTGGCGCAACAATCTAAGTTCACAAAGAAATTCATAGCAGCTTGCTACATATGCGATAAAAACTATTGTGCAACTTGGCCAACATAAGTTGTTATTTTAAATAAATTTTACAAGTACCATTTGATGCCTAGAGACGTTGGCAAGAAAAACACTAGGGAAACACCAGCCAAAGAGGGAGCAATAAATTATTCAAGCAGCAACATCAGTAACAAAAGCAAAAACATTTTTACACTGACCTGCCCACTGATGTCCAGTAGATAGCTTAGAAATAGAAGAAAGTCCCAGGCAGACTCAAACATAACATTTGCAATCTGATAAGTAGCATGGACTACAACGGAGGAATTGACATTTGATGATTTTTCTGAATCGGAGTTATTTACAGTTTTATGTGGAACCAAAAATTTCAGAAAACCCTCAATTACATTCAAAATCCTGCCCCATGATGTAGCCTTCTTGTACAACCCTTGAAGAGACAAGAACATGTCAATAGAAAGTCTCCTCAGATTTCTGCGATCTGCAAGCTCCTTCTCCAGAACAATATCATTCCCAGGAATAGACGCATGGACAGCTGGAGCCAAGGAACCATATCCAGTTTCCAGAATCTTCATTATACAATGAACAATATCTTCAGAAGAGATAGCTGGGCTACTCAGAAGTGATTCATAAAATATAGAAGAAGCAGTTTTGCCCAACTGTTGGCTAAAACTTGAAACGCATCTGAACAATTCCATTGGAACTTCATGCTCAAGGTCATCATCAAATAAATCCACAAGACCTGTGAGATCACCCCCTCCTTCTGAAAAGACACAGAATGTGAATGGAAGAAAAATTAAATTTAAAAAAAAAAATTGTACGTAAAATAATGAGCATATAGATGTAATCAAGGAAGTGAACCAAAAGAAGGGCTTGATTGGCAGCATAGATTAACAGTGGGGTGGTCTGGATTTGGAACTTCTGGCTACACCTCTAAATTGAGGGAATTCAACCCTCTCCAATTTCTCTTCTATCTTTCCTTTTTCACATATAAGAGTAATATTGGGAATTCAATCCTTCAAACCCATCCCATCGCATGGTGACTTCCAAGCAATGTAGAGCAGGTTACCATTCATTTTTAATGAATTTCCAACCAATGCAATGGGTTATCCCCCCCCCCCACACTCACACCAAAATTACCAATCCAACCTTGAGAGAAAAGCTAGAAATTCTTTCTTGTTTTGTATAAAAAGAAATGTGGGTGATGATAAGTACCTTCTATAATCCGCTCAATATCTTCCAAAGAACGAAAAAGCGATACTGAACTTTTTCTGATTAAACCAACTGCATCAGTAGAGTAATCAATGAACAAGCCACAGGATGCATTGATCTTGCACCAATTATGGAAGTAGCGGGTGCAAAAATACTTCCAGCATTGAAATATCGACATCTTTTCAGTTCCAACCTATCAGAGGAATCTTGTGAGTTTTATTATAACAGATTTATCATTCCCAAGTCTGAAGGAAAAACAAGAATGAGAAGAAAGATTTTCCGGATATGAAAATTACCTCATGTTCAATAGCTGAAAGTATCTCCTTCTTTAGTCCATCAGAAGTTAATGCTCGGAACACAGATTCAACCAACTGCTTTTTATACTCAACTAGGGTTGCATGCATAACTGCATTATGATGCACTCCAGGAAGAAGCAACCTGCGTAAGAAAATTGAGGATACAAATGGCACAATATCATCCTGCAGAAAATAGCATGAAGTATTAACTGTAAGTAATAACTTTAAACAGAAGAAGCAAAATAACAGCAGTTGATGCATGGCAAGCCAACAGAAAACCAGATCACAAAATTCATTCAGATCCATTAAAACCGCATATCTCCCCTGTTTACAGCAACAGATGTGTGGATAGGTTTGCTTTTGAATAAACTCCCAAACTAACACTAATCACCGACCTACCCTCTACCCCACAGTTCTCCAAAACAAGTAACATTTCTTCATCTTCTTTTCTTTTACTTTACAGAAAACGAAGGATAAGTAGCTTCTGGCCATCAATTATAGAAGTTGAAAAGTATTTAAGCGTGCAAGGCTACAGGGTATGTTTCTGCTGAATGCAAATGGAGTCTGCTTTTCCACAGATTTGCATATATTACATTCGTGGTGCACTAGCTAAATTACCACTTAGATCATGTGGTCACAAAAGCCCATCAAATTAAATGGTATGCCATAGCAAGTACCATTTTATATTAATCATTCTCATATGCACCCAATGCCCTTGGAATATGCCCTCTACCACCACCTCATTCAAAGAGTGGAAAAAAAATCAACTTCTAGAAAAATCATCGTCAGCCTTGGATATCATTTTACATGCAAGCATCTATTTAAACATACACACAGAAGCACATCACAACAAATGTACATGCATGCATAAAACAAATTTTGAGGCATAAATATTTTCCAATTAGAAAAGCAATAAAATGCCTCCAAGAGCATCTTTAAATCTTGGGGTCCCTGATTCAGGGCTTTGATTGGGAGGGTGGGTAAGGGATGGGGGGAGATGGGGTGATTTGAAACATCCTAAACCAGAGTTTTTAAAGCCACTCCAAATTAGGGGATTTGGAATGGGTTAATTCATTACCGTTTTCATTTCCTTAAGAACCCTCTCCCCTTGCCACTTTTCCCTCAAAGGGTTAAAATCACAAAAACAACTTTGGAATTTCACCGTTCAAACCAACCCACCCCACTAATGAGATCGTAACATCAAAACAACAGAGAGTGCATAACGACCTAGTTTCCCCCCTATACTTCCCATCAACAGACTGAGTTATCTCCAAATCACCGCCCCCCCCCCCCCAAAAAAAAAAAAAAAAACTCCTCACAGCTCCCCAACCTTTGATAACTAACTTCATAATTTTAGAATGATAATAGAAGATTCCACAAAAGCCAATACCTTGGAAGATGAAAATAATGAATGAGCAATCTGCAAAATTTCATCTGCAAGATGATCTGAACCCTGAAATAGTTGATCAGCAACAAACTCTTCTTGTAATACATGAGAAAATTCTTCTTCCCTAACAAGGTAGAGTAATTAATTCAGCTTGAATGGTAACGGTCCAAATGTAGCAAATCATACACATGCATAACAAAATCATTAACTGCAAACTAGGTTATCTAATTTATATTAACACATAAATAGGCCCTGGCTATTGGTGGTGTTATGTCACCATACAAGGACCATAGTTTAGCTATATCTGAGGTCAAAACCAACTGATTTAACCTCATTACTATCTTTAAACCTTTAGCATCAGAATGCCTAAAATCATTAGAGATTGAGTATACAGTAACATCAGAATGCCCAAAATCATTAGAGATTGAGTATACAGTTTATACCACAATAATATGGAACAATAATCAGTTCGTAGATTGACAGAAACAAGCTAAAATATGTCACATACTCGTCAGTATTTGCAGAAAACATGCGTGATATTAGTTCATCATCCTTCAGTATCCATATCTTGTTGGAAGTTAGTTTGACGTCAATGCATCCTCCCTGTAAAAAAAAAAACTAGTGATGTACGGCATTTGATGCAGATGAAAAGTCAAATCTAAATGTTTAAATCAAGTTAACATGAGATGATCAGCAATTTACCTCCTCCAAAGAAATATTTCGTGAAGACTTCAGTGAGAAAATTATTCTGTCACTAAAATTGTATTGGATATTGTGTATAGAGATCATCTCCAAGCTTTCATCCTTCAACACAGCCCCCAAAAACAAGTCAATAATCAATAGCTTAAAAAACTGAGTATTATTTATTAATCATACCTAATATGGGATACTCTATAAGATGCTTAAAGAACGTAATTTACTCTCTATCAGTTATTAAATGAGATTTGTAACAATCAAATGCCACTGTTAACCAGTAAAGAATAAAATTAACTTATTACAACAAATTAGAAATTAAAAATTAGTAGATCAATTTCATGAACTCTACAACTAACAAATTTTATTTATTTTCTACTTTCATCATTTAAATGTTAAAATGTAACCTTTTAAATTTTTTAAGAAAACCTTGTAAATTCAATCTGCCCCAATGTAATTATCATCACAATTTAATTAGTCATCTTCAGCATTACTCATTCCAAATGTGCCAAATTAGTTTAGGTAGGCCAACTAATCTGATTTAAGTTGGTTTTTGAACAATAAAGTCACTTTTATCAACCAGGTTCAGATTCAGATCAGCTATGTTCAAATGATAAGATGAAACTATAGATATATTTGCTTTGGCCAACATGGCAATACATATACTTTAAATACGAGATGATTAACATCTTTACAAACATTTATTTAACAACAATCAGCTACGTGTAGAGTTTTCAATAGTTTAGATCATACACCACTCAAATGAAGATTCTAGGCATCAAGCCACAAAGCTTCTAGTGTACGTACTGACACAACATAACAAGGATGAAATATAAGCCTGAATGGTTTTTATCAATAACAAATGAGTTTCAAAACGTAAGTTTCATACCAATGACTGTTTGCACAAAATTGCCACTGGAATCGTACTTGAATCCAAACAAGGTTGACCCAACCATAGTTTCATAAAGCTAGCACCTGAATAAAAGAAACATTATGATATAAGTACATATATCTTTGTGAGCGGTGTAAACAACAGGAACGGGAATGCACGATATTGTCATTAAACAAAGAAAAGTAGGGCTGTAATAAATTATCAACTGTATTTTAAGCTCTACAATAAAAGAGAGTCACTACGTATCATTTACCCACAAAGGAGACTGTCAAGCAACAACACGGAAAAAAAAAAAAAACCAAAAAAAAAAGGGTTCCAAAAGTCCATCCAAAAGCATTTGAGTACTATAAGAAACAAAAATTATCTTCCTTTTTCTCAGCTGAATTTTATTTTGCCTTCTAAACCCTCCAGTCAATCATCTCTAAAAGTCCACAAACATATAAGCCATTAACCGAGAGACCTCAATTAGTGACTTCTTTAAGTGTCCTTCTTGGTCTCCCTCTACCTCTCATTATCAGGCTAAAAGCTATCTATCAAAACAGACGGCATAAAAAGTTTTGACTTCATCTTTTAGAAACCAGGTTTGACATCAAATCCACTCACAACATGGCCTTTAAACTTCTCCACACAATTCACCAATTCTATCATACACTTTCCCACTCTTAACTCAAAAATGTAGAAGTCAGATCTTGAAATCCTGAAAAGTTTGTGCACTGCCCGCTGAAGCTTTCCTAATTTATCCAATTAACCCACTTTTTAGGACATTGATACAGAAGGAACCAATGATAATACTACTCTCTAATATTGAAAGAGGTACACTTGGTCAAAAAGCATGTATAAGATAAATGGAAAACAATATGAAGACTAAATTAAAGTTTAGGACTACAAATTACCTGTCATGGTTGTAGTGCCCATAGTATGACTAAAGACCCTGGAATTACATGAGAGATCCCAAACTCGTACTGACCCATCCAGATGAAGTACAAACAGAAATCTTTTCCCATGAAGCTCATATATCACCATGTCTTGTACTAAACTCACCATTTTACCCCTATAAGACATATTTAGGGAATAGTTTACAACCCATAAATCATAATACAATTCAAAATTGAAAATCTGAGAAAATAGGAGATACCAAAAGACTGTAAAAAACACATATTACATGTACAATAAAATATATTTTGATTGCTCAATATCAATTAATATCTTTAAAAAAATACCGTGACATAAGGCCCCACAATCGGCTGATTCCAACTTCATCTCTCAGCTCAACCACAAATCCTTCAGGGAAACGTAAATGCATTATAAACTATAACAAGTAATAAGTTAAATAAAGAAGGCTCTAAATATGGAGAAAATAACATGGTGCTTCACAGTGATATCCGTAACACAAGAACAATGCTGATCATTGAAGTGGCAGTTAGAAGAAACAAGAGCAGCTGCGGGTAGGATATAATTTGCAGTGTGAATTCCTTAAGAAGGAACACTCCACATCAATTGGGAACAGTCACGTGAATGCAAATTCAATTAGCCAGAGGACATGCAAATTGCACCAGTATGCATTGTAATGAAAGAAACCAAGAGGAAGGAGGAATGAAGCATGCAAGCTGATGCATCCATTAATACTTGAAAGTAAAGAGCCAGTTAATCATACCAGCAGCACTTGGATCAAGTACACCGAGCTGAAAACAGCAGACCGAACCATCATTTCTGCCAACAACAAGACACCCGGAAGTTGCTGTTACTGCAGTCACTGGCATATAATTCGAGTAATTGTGCAAGTTAAGCTCTGTAAGCTCGTGAGCTGGGAAGACGGAGCAGGATGCATATGTAGAAACATTTCGAATTTTCAAGAGGTAAGCCACCCCAGACACAGTCAATACAAAAAGCAAGTAGGGGAATCTGGAAGTGGCAGTAATCTGCAAATAACAGAATGGTTAGTTGAGTCAAGAAAATTGCAGGATACAATCTCGACGGCGTACAAATGATCAATAAAGCAAAATATAATCAACTATATTGTGTTCAAAAGATATGCAGTGTGGTGTATGATGGATGCATAACCTCGTTTTTGCAGATGAAAGCAAATGGACAAAGCGCCTCGGGGAAAGTGAATCTCAATCCAGCTTTAGGAAATTCTTCGGAAGCACGGATCTCCAATAACTCTAATGCTTGAGGCTGCATTTTGTGAATTCTCCTATGAGAGGAAGCCACAAGGGTGGTTGGTAATAATAGCGTCAGATTTTTTTTACCGAAGAATGCAGTAGATGTACAACGGACGGGGCAGTTTGAGCAGAGCTATAACTTGAAAAGAGGGCAGAAAGAGGAAGCTACCATATGAGATAAGAAGAAGGATTTCCAATGACAAAGCAAGAGGCGCGGTCCTTGTTGGGAGGTCCAAGAGTGGCAGTCCCACTGTCAACGGCAATGGCGGCACTGTTGGAAGGAGAAGGAACCGACAATTCAATCCACTTGAGTGCATCGTTGCTGATTATGGGAACTTCCTTCCCGGCCAACGTCGACCCGCTTCCCATTTTCTTCGTCGTATTCTTCCGTACCAAGCCCCGCCAAAACCCTACTGCCGGGTTCTGGGTTTAGAACAGCATAAGCTGGCTTCTCGATCCAGGAAACCGGAGCGGAAAAGTCGTGAAAATGGAAAGAGCTTGGCGCCCAAATTTGTTACCTGAAAAAAAAAACAAAACAAAACAAAATAAAAGATCAAAACAAGTGACAAATTAACAATGCTTCATTCGGCTTAATAAATGACCTGGAACAAAATTAGATCAGACGTGTATGGATGAAAATAAAATCATAATTTTAAAAGTGATTGGTAATTTATGCATCTGTATGTAATAAAGTTTTGATAGATAAAACTATATTTATGAATTATGAACACAAATAATAGATTTGTTTTTCAGTTTTTATAGTTTATTGATTTTTAATACTACCTCTGCGACTAATTTAAGAGATTAAGAAAGTAGTTGAGTTAGTTATTTATCCTAAATAGGTGTTATCTTTTCTAAAACATCTTTACTAATCAAGTGTATTGACTATAACTATCATTATTAGAAGGGTTACTCTGGGAAAAAATGTATAAATATGAGAGACAAAGTGGGTTGACGTATTATATTTAAGATCAAAATAAAAGTTAAACAGGGTTTTATACTAAGGACCGGAGGTAGTATTAACTAGCTTATATACGTATAATAATTGATTGAAATAGGAAAATACTACCTCCGGCCCTTAGTATAAGACCCTGTTTGACTTTTATTTTGGTCCTAAATATAATACCCAATCCACTTTGTCTCTCATATTTATGCATTTTTTTCTAAGATAATCCTTCTAATAATGATAGCTCTAGCCAGTACATTTGATTAGTAAGGATATTTTAGGAAAAACAACACAAATTTATTACAAATAATTAACATAATTTATTTCATTAATTTCTTTAAATTAGTCAAATAGCTCTTATAATTAAGATCATAAGTAGTATTTGTTAAATAAACGAGCAAGATCTAAACTAATGGGTAATTCAACACTAATTTTATTGACTAGAGCGTGAAATAATTTCTGTTATTGAATAAACATTCGTGTAATTAAATTTAATGCTAAAACTTTTAAGTATATTGGGCGCAGAGATCGTCAAGTATATTTCAGCCTGGGAATTTTTATTTGGAAATGAGACTCTGTTTGTGGACAAAACTAACAAATTATTCCGTACTCATAATAACCAAAAATCCAATTACATCTGCTATCAACGTATTAAAGTTTAAAGTTTTTAATTTTTAATCAAACAGTAAATAAAAATTTATTTTTATGAAAAAGTATAAATTTGACAAAAGGAGCTCGAAATAACATTATCAAACAATGGAGCATTTAGGTAGAAACTAAATTATAATTTTAAAAGCAATTTTATAATGCACAAAATAAGTACTACCTCCGGTCCTAATTATAAGACCCAGTTGACTTATTTGAGGAGATTAAGGAAGTAAGTTAAATTAGTTATTTGTAATAAATAAGTATTGTCATTCCTAAAATATCCTTGTTAATTAAGTGTATTGGCTAGAACTATCATTATTAGAAGGACTATCTTGGAAAAAATGCATAAATATGAGAGACAAAATGAATTGGGGTCTTATAATTAGGACCAAACAAAAAGTCAAATAGAGATAGTGGATGTGGGGAGTTATCAGGGACAATAACGATAATTGGTTAATTGGTTTTAAGTGCAAACTCACCAAGGTGCCCCCAGTTGTGGCAGAACTGATTGCAATCATACATGGCCTAAACCTCTGTTGGGTTAAAGGGTATAGGGACATTACGTTGTTTTCTGATTGTATAGAAGCCTTAAACTTGCTTACTAAAGGCTGCGCTAGTTCTTATCCTTTCAGAGACATAGTTGAAGATGCCAGATTGTTGTTACATAGGGAGTGGCATGTTTTGATTAAACATACTCCTAGGAAATATTTAGGGTTAGCTGACTTTCTAGCAAAGTCTTCACACATGATGGTAGGAAATTTTTGTATGCTTGATCAACCTCCACCCCTAGAACAAGAGGAGGAGGTTGATGAAGCAGATTAGGTTCTGCTTTGTTGTAATTTCTCCCCTTTATTGAATACAGTTTTCTATTCAAAAAAAAAAAGTCAAATGGGGTCTTATATTAAGGACCGGAGGTAGTATGAAAGAAGAATTTTATAATTTTTTTTTTTTAACTGCTTTTACTTGATGCCAAACACCCCTAGCGCTCCGCACCCGCAGTTCCACGCACATGCATACAGCTCTTATACGAACAAATAAACATATAGGTCCGTAGCTTCGTATATCATACGATACGACGTGGGCGCTTAGGATATGTTGTGATATGTTGTCGTTTACAACGTTGTTGACCATAAGCCTCATCGGAACTTGGAACAGAAGACCGTAGCATACAATGGAGAATCATGTAAGTGTAACCCCCACCGACGAATGAACTCCTTCCAATAAGACACCCCACATGTTGATGTTGCGATTCACTCCCTTTAACCCATTTGCCTTTTCTTTTCCACCAATTCGCCAAGGTTTAGTCCCCAGAAGGAACAACACCGGCTTGACATTTTCCTATCATTTACTTTGCTTCTTCCCACGCTTTGTCCTCTTAGTGCCCCCGCATTTAGATTTCCCTTCGATTCCCACTTTATCATGTACATTTAACTTTTCCACGTTCGTGACATGTCCATGTGGTTTTTACCTAATAATTTATTTCCTTACACTACAATCCCCGTCATTTGTACTCTTATCTAATTGGGATCAGCGCCAGAAGATTTCATATCGCTAGGAAAGGCTCACCTTAAATATCTGACCGTGACGTATCCGTCATTGTCAAGAAGCAGAATGTGCTGCTGCTCATCACCACTCTATCCTCACGGCCACAACTACACTATCAATGTTGGAAAATGATAGATGAGATTTAATATTAGCATTCACTACCTTACCCAATTCTAAACAGTCATGCGGTCATTGCTGGTGCACTTTAGTACCACACTTCGCATCATCTCAGGATCGTTCCTTTTTAAAAAAAAGCCAATGAAGAATCTCAACAAGATTAAGATTCAGTTCTCTACAAGGAAACAATTCATCTTTTAATATTCATTCAATTCCTTTTGTATATGTGTCTTTGTCATTTCCTTGGTAACAATCATCAGGACAAGGGGTTACATTCTTAGGCACGAAAACGTGGGGAAGGATGATATACAAACTGTACTAGTGTGAAACAAAAATGCCAATAATCACCAAGAATATTTGGCATATATTCCTCTAACGCTGGTAAGTTCTAGTGAACAACTAACCTTCTCTTTCATCATCATCTTTTGGTCTTGCAGAACTTGAACCAGAGGCCATCCCAATAACTTGGGTGTGTGTGAACCTTTGTAATTGAATCATGCGTGCATATATCCCATCAGGGTGATTTTTCAACAACTGCGAGTGAGATCCTTGCTCTGCTACTTTCCCATCATCAATCACCGCAATCACATTGGCATTTCTAATAGTTGATAGCCTGTGGGCAACAATAATAGTAGTTTTTCCAGAGCAAGCACGGTCTAGAGCCTCTTGAACAGACCTCTCAGATTCAGCATCAAGCGCACTTGTTGCCTCATCAAGAAGCATAATCTCCGCCTTCCTGACAAAAGCCCGGGCTATTGCTATTCTTTGTTTTTGACCTCCGGATAGCTGAACTCCTCTTTCCCCAACAAAGGTTTTGTATCCATCTGGCAAGCCAGATATGAACTTGTGAGCATTGGCAAGAGTTGCTGCTTCAATTATCTCAGCTTCAGTTGCTGACTCATTCCCATAAGCTATGTTTTCATATATAGAAGAAGCAAACAAACAAGGCTCTTGAGGTACAATGGCAATGTGGCATCTGAGGGACTTGAGATTGTATTTTCGAATGTCCTTTCCATCAATCATAACCCGCCCAGAAGTTGGATCATAGAATCTTTGTACGAGGGCAATCACTGAGCTCTTACCACAGCCGCTTGGTCCTACGAGGGCCAGAGTTTTACCTGCCCTAGCACGAAGACTGAGATCACGAAAAACTGGCATATCTGGACGACTGGGGTAAGAGAAGTCTACATGCTTGAGTTCAATTTCTCCACGAAGCCGATCAGGAACGGGGATAGCATCTGGGTCATCTGGTTCAATTTCAGTTCTGCGATCGAGAAGATCAAACACTGATCTCATGGCTCGACCTCCCTTAATGAAGTCAGGAGCTAGGGTTAAAGTTTCCGCAGCACCATTGGCAGAGACCATAAGGACCATAAAGACTCTGATTGTTTTGGAGAAATCTGAGATTCCATGTTTCACAAGCCAAGAAGCATACCAAAGACCAAGCGAATATGAAGCATAGAGTGCAAACTGAGCTATCCCAAATCCACTTCCAGAAATTTGCCCCTTCCAAAAGCAACGTCGCAGTGGTGTTTCAAGGTTGGAAGTGAAAAGACCAACAATTTTTGTCTCCGAATTGAAGGCTGCAACAGTTCTTACATTTGCTATAGCCTCCCCTGCAAGTTGTGTGGCCTTGGCATGTGCAGCTTCCAAGTCTCCAGAGAAACCAGTCATGAACATTTTCTACATAAAAATCAACACAATGAGTAGTGACTTAACAGAAGACTCCCAAAACACGCAAGGAAGGATGAAATGAAACAAGCAAACCTGCAAAACAGTGGCTGCAACAACAACGGGGAAGACAGCTATGAGGACAAGTGCAAGGCGCCATTGCAATACAAACCCTGCAGTACAAGCAACTAACATAAGAGCAGTATTCTGCACTATTACTGAAATCCGATCTCCAATGGCTGATCTAACATTTTGGGCATCAAGAGCGAGCCTTGCTGCAACACGGGCACTCTCATTTTCCTCCTGCTCGAACCAAGCCATTTCATTTTTCAGCACAGCTGTAAGCATTTTCTCCCGCACTCGTTTAGTAAGGTTTTCACCAACAATATCCCAAAAGAAGTGTTGCAGTGTATTGAAGAGAAGTGCAGCCGATGAAAGCCCGATCAACAAGTAACAGTACTTTTCTATTTCTCGGATCATGTATCTGTGATTTGGATTGTAATAGACACTAAGCACAGCACTGAGAACATATGCAAAGAATGCACTGAGAGATCCGCAAACAACGGAGCCTATAGAACCGACAAAAGCATAAAGCCATTCAGGAGAATTCATTTTCGCAAGGCGCCAAAAGGAACTGGCTTGCTCTTTGAAGGCAAGCTTTTCAAGCCTATAGTTTGGATGCGAAGCATCAAGGGATAGACTAAAATCAGAAGTAGAGAAGTCAGATAGCCTGCGTGAATATGGTGAGCGGCCATAAGAGGAATTCCGAGCAATTATTGGGGAGCTTACAGAATTTCTTGCACTCGACGGCCTGCAAATAGATTGCCATGTCATTGGATGATATACCTTCATCTTGCCAATAACTTGGAAGGATCAAAAGACAAACATGCTCTATGATAAAAATGTTTAGCTACTCATGCAAAATGAAATTACAGTCTCCAACTATAGTGAAAGCTACCTTGCACTGCTCTTTCTGGCATTATTCATGGCAGTTTCATGTGCCATTTCTTGCATCCGGATAAGCTTGGCGTAAACTCCATTTTCACCCTTAGCGAAGAGTTCATCATGAGTTCCAATTTCAGAAACACTTCCTTGCTGAAGCACCGCAACAAGGTCAGCCTTGCGAATGGTGGAAAGGCGATGGGCAATTACAAGAGTTGTTCTACCAATCATGAATCGGTCAAGGGCTTCTTGCACTAGCTTTTCAGATTCAGAGTCTAATGCACTTGTTGCCTCATCCAGAAGAAGAATTGCTGGGTTCTTCAGCATTGCCCTTGCTATTGCTATTCTCTGCTTTTGCCCTCCAGAAAGCTGCAATCCTCTCTCTCCTACCTGTCATTCCAAATCAGCAGATGTTAGCTTAAAAGTTTACCTTTTTGAAGGATTCTTACAAGCTAATGGGAAAAGGAAGCATTCTTTCCTTTTAAAAAATTGGAATAAGACTCTCTTTATTAGTACCTCATAAGTCAACATACATTGAGTACTCTGATTATTCTGTCATTCATACGAAGTTTATTGAAAGCGACTCAACAGTATTTATTCGTTATCATAGAGGCATAAAATCGAAGAAGATTTGGTTTTTTTTCCCCCTTCATTTTTTAAATGTTTAGGCACCACTGGTTGGTTGGTCTTCCAGCGGTGGTTTGTCCAGTCACTATTTAAGAATATATTTCCAGTTGCTCTGTATTTATTTATGCACATGCGCTGTTGGGTGAAGCATGTTACCCTCTTGGTCATTCTCATACGCAATGCATGACCAGTCGACTCCCCGGGTTTGACTCGTACAAATTTTGAGAAGAAATAATTGATAATTGATGGGTTTGGTTCGTTGACCAAACAAATTCATACAGCCCAACAAAAACTACCAAAAATTTCAATAAGCAACTAACTAGTAAAAATATAAAAAACTTCTGGTCAAGATCTATATTCAGCAATTATCCGCTTTACCCCACAACTGCCACAAGTAGGAATACCTCTGTTTCCATGTAATACCACGTTCCCACATTGATAATTGCGATATAAATTAGTTATGTTCCTTTTTATTGTTTATAATAGAATATTTTAAAACATGACTTGCGACCAACGAAACAAAAGGCTTCTTCTATGTCGGATCCTGAAAATGAAATGAAATCACGCAGGATTGATCTGAAGAACCATTAGATGGGTGTGATTAGCCACCATCAGTTCATCACTATTTACAACTAAACAACATCGTATCTATTTTCATGAAGCTTGATGTTGACTGACCTGGGTCTCATAGCCTTCGGGGAGCTTGATGATAAACGAATGAGCATTAGCTACTCTTGCAGCTTCTTCAATCTCCACCTGGTCGGCATCAGGCCTACCCAACAATATATTTTCTCGGATAGTTGTTGCAAATAAAGCAGGCTCTTGGCTTACAAGTCCTATTTGCTGCCTCAACCATCTCAGTTTCAATGTTTTAATGTCATGTCCGTCTAGCAGAACTTGTCCTGTACAGGGTTATTCAGCAACCTCTTAATTAATTGCTAATATATTATCCATGCACAAATAAACCCTTTTTTTTTTTGGGTACACAAATAAACCATTACTGACACCACGCGTACGAAATCTGGGGACGAGACAAATTAAGAATATTTGTATAGTCCAATCGGGTATTTACTGCAAATCTAATTGACTTGTTTACCTGAAGTGGGGTCATAGAATCTCTCGATGAGGGAGACGACGGTGCTCTTGCCGGAGCCACTGCTGCCGACCAAAGCGATGGTCTTGCCGGCCGGCACATTCAAAGAGAAATCATCGAGGATCCGAACATCTGGCCTTGACGGGTATGAGAAATCCACATTTTTGAGCTCAACTAACCCAGTCACGGACTCTAGTTCCAAACCCGAATCAGTATTCCGGTCTACGCCCGGTTTGTGGTCGATGATTCGGAAAATTTTTGCGGCAGCGACTCTAGCCTTTGTGAATGCAGTGATGCTGGGCACAGATTGCCCCAAACCCCTTGTGTGATTGAAAAAGCGAAAGGGTAAATAACTTGATTCAAAGGCTTTCCCGAAACGAATGAGAATGGAATTTTACGCAGTAAAACAATACTTACAATCCGCCAATCATAACAGCGAACATGGTGGAGATGGCGAGTCCTCCATTGGTGTAGTGGTGCCTGACGAGGTAGCCGCCGTACCATAGCAGGAGCGCATAACAGCAGAAAACGACAAAGTATGTCGCGCCTAATCCCATTCCCTTTGCGAACCCACTTTTGTAGCCAGTCTTTTGAGCTACCTTCAACGCCGAAGAGTAATCCTGTAATGCTCGACTCTCGCCAACGAAAGCCAGTACTACTCGAATCTGCATGATTGTCTGCAATTCGAACCACACCCAGGTGCACAATCAGAGATAATGATCAAAAAGTTAAAATTTGTTCTTTATCCACATAAATCTGAAGCTGGGGGTAAACACAAAAACAAGCATTAATCTGCGTTAATTCTTTCTCTTGCCTGTTCCACGATGTTTCCAGCTTTAGAGAGAGCTTCCTGGCCTCTGGCTGAGAGCTTGGTCAAGGTGGTGGTGTGAATGCCTCCGATTACAGCTATCATAGGGACTACGGCCAGAGTAACAAGAGCTAATTGCCAAACCGCGGTGAAACCCACCACAAATCCAGAAACAAAAGTCGCCATGTAGTGAATGAAATTACCCAGCTGCTCATAGAGCAAGCAAAATTGGATTAAGCACTCACAGTGGTAAGACCAGATAAAACGAAAGGATGGGGAAATGGTTGAATTCGTTACGGCGTTTAGTTCACCTTCTCGCTAATGGCGTCCTGGACCATGACCGCATCAGTGTTGATGGCAAAAACGACGTCAGATGTTCTAACCTCGGTATCAAAGTATTGAATGTCCTGGTTCAAGGCAGCTTCAAGGTATTTGATCCTCAGCTTCGTTGATTGCCTCTCGCCAGTCCACATCCAGCAAGATATCTCTGCAAAGGAGCTACTCTAATCATATTCAAGCACTAAAAATAGAAACTAAAACCAGAGAGCCTTGGTCACAGAGAATAATTTACCTGCCCAAGATGATGCCCATATAGCAGCACCCACCACCAGGAAGTAAAATGCGTACTGCAAAGAACAGAAAAGCAGAGTTTCAATTCTCATTCAAATCAGACGGTATCAGATAATGAATCGTAATCTTATTACCTTGACGACTTCCTGGGTCATCTTGTCCACATTATTGACATTCGACCCAAAAGAATTGACGAGATCGGCGAAGAACCGGAGAAATAACGGCAGAGCACAACCGTGCACGATTGCTCCGATTGTTCCTATAGCCATCAGAATGTAATCCAACCCATCGGCAAATCTGAAAAGCTCGCCAAATCCAACAGCCGGAATATTCTCAGGCTTCTCCCCACTACTGCTACCACTTCCACCGCTGGCACTGCCATTAGCGAGACTTCCAACTTCCTTTCGCTCTCCCTCTTGAGTAGCGTCCATTGGCTTCGCCTCTCTGTTTTCCTCTGTTTGTGTTGGTGCGGTGTGAGAGTCAGAAATAGGAGCAGGAGAGACGAGCTCAAGGCCTTGCATTTCCGACCATCTCCACTGCTCAATCGTCTTTATCTCGACAGAATCTTGTGACATTTGCAAAATTCCAAAGCTTTTATGAAGGGCTTCTTAATCCCCACCCCTCTATTATCTCACTCTCTCTAGCTACCTGTCTTTTAAGCTCATGTTTCTCTGCTTCCAACTTTTCAGCTCTCAGTTTTTTTATATTCGTTTTTATCTGTTTCGTAGTGCTCTCTTTCTTCCTCTACTGATTTTCCATCTCATCGCTCATTCTTCTTGTAGTTCGGGAAAGACTGTTGAATAAGATTGGAAGAAAGGGTTAGTAGCAGAGGGGTAATGTTTCAGTTCGCTTAATTCTGTCAAAAACATCGAAAGTGACAGATGGTGAGAACCTAGACAGAGAAATTTCGGAGAGATGGGAAGGGAAGAAAGAGAAAAGTAGAGAGAGTTTAGTTTTCATTTCCTCCACCCGACAAAGAACACTGTGAAAACTTGAAGATTGGTTTTTGACCGGAACAAATTCGGAAGTACTACCTCCGGTCCTAATTATAAGACCCAGTTGACTTATTTGAAGAGATTAAGGAAGTAAATTAAGTTAGTTATTTGTAATAAATAAGTGTTGTCATTCCTAAAATATCCTTACTAATTAAGTATATTAGCTAGAACTATCATTATTAGAAGGATTATCTTGGAAAAAAATGCATAAATATGAGAGACAAAATGGATTGGGGTCTTATAATTAGGACCAAACAAAAAGTCAAACGGGGTCTTATAATAAGGACCGGAGGTAGTATAAAAGAACAGATCATTAAAGATTGTTTCGCTTTTTTAAAATAAATTAAATTAAAAATTAGTAAAATTTAATGACTGTCGATTATCCGTTCCTCAGATTTGGCTTTTACTGCAAGTTAATTCGCTAAAAGGCGAATTTTGCTTGTCTGAAGTCATGGCTTTACACTTCTGAATCTGTCTCCATAGAGTGCGCCGGTTTTCTCTGCTCAGAAGCAAGGGAGGCAACCAAAACCAAATTAAAAACAAGGCGTAATAATACGCAGAACAACTACAAATTAATTAAATAAAGCAACTTTGCAAATCTGCTTTGTTCTATCTTTTTTGAAAGCTTATTAAAAAAAAAGGTAAAAGGAAGATAATTAAGGATTGTGTTAAACCTAGTCTACTAGCTTTAAGCGGTTTAAAACCTAGAACGTTGCAGTGGTGTCGCAAATCTCAATCAATATCTAAGTTATCAGCACCATCGAAACCCTGTAACATGTTATGAACCCTGAAAATGAAATAACCAATGTATTGTTCAGTATTTGTCAATCAATCGTCGACGAATCTGGGGATCCCTCCAAAATTTGATTCTTTGCTGAAAAGGACGGCGAAACATATATAAATACATAACTTGTTTAGGGCCAACTATATCCAAACAGAATTAATTAAATTTTTTAATTGATTCATCCTGATTTAAAGGCCTCAGAAGCATTAAACTAACATCTGTTTCAAAGAAGGTAAAGCAGTGAGGTAAATTAAATCCCGCTTTGAATGTAATTAAGAATTTAAGGTCACCAGCCCATCTTCCTTCTCTCCTTTTTTTTTTTTGGTTTGAAACTTTAAATACAGTAACGTGACTGGAAGTTCTGACACTGAAAATTCCCTGAAGGCGGAATTTTTTTTTCTAAATTCGCATTAAAAATTGTTGTCAGTCAATAATAATTAGATCAATACTTAAAGGAAATTAATGGCAGCTTTTAAAATTTCTTTAACAGGAAGTTAAACTAAAATATGGGTGTTACAGGCAAAGGGAAAAGGTGCATGTTGGATTTCTTTCTCCCTTTTCACGCTTGTCGTACAGTTTTTGCATATTAAGGCTCTGTTCTTTGAAGTGCTCTGAACCCACGGGCATTTGTCGAGCATGGGAAAGAGCTGGCTTGCAAAATGGGGCATCGTTGAAAAGATTTGAGATCAGGTTTTTTTTTCCCCCCCGAACTTCTTCTTTTATGGGGTATCATTTATTTCCATTTCTTGTGATCGCTATATTTGGTATATACATTTTCATGGTAAACCTAACCCCGCTTTTCCTTATTTGATTGGCAGAAAATTAAGAGCATCAGAAGGAAGCATCTGATACTCTTGAGAAAAATTAAGAGCCAAAAACTGAGAAAATCTCCACGAGATTAGGGAGGCAATCATGAGAGGGACTGAACTGATGGGCCATGGTGTGGTTCATAAGAAACAGCAACAATATGCACAGTACATCTGGAAACATGTAATCTGTAAATGGGATAATAGTAAATACTCCTCCGGTCCTAATTATAAGACCCAATTGACTTATTTGAGGAGATTAAGGAAGTAAGTTAAGTTGGTTATTTATAATAAATAAGTGTTGTCATTCTTAAAATATCCTTGCTAATTAAGTATATTGGCTAAAACTATCATTATTAGAAGGATTATCTTGGAAAAAAATGCATAAATATAAGAGACAAAATGGATTGGGTCTTATAATTAGGACCAAATAAAAAGTCAAATTGGGTCTTATAATAAGGACCGGAGGAGTACAAATGGATAAAAAGTCGTTTCTGAGTTACACTTCTCTGGGATTTATCCAGTTTATGACAAGCAATCTAATATCTACATCGTTGCCTGCAACAAGTTACCCACTAATGGAGGAAGTTTTCCTGCCTACGCTAATCCATTAAAGTAAACCTCACAGCAAGGTAACTATTTCAAAGTCAAGGAGAGATGTCCGTAATAGGCGTTGCATGGTATTATAGCAACGGATTAGATGTTTAATTAAAGGTTAGACCACTTATAACACCAAACGAAGAAAGTAAACTCTGTTACCAAATACAACAAATACTCAAGTACCCACTCAAGTGCTTCTCTCAAAAGCAGGGTATTTTGTGACTCCAATTATGCCATTTCTTGTCTTTCTCGCAGTTAGTGTCCGTATTTAAAAAAAAAACAAGAGGAGATATTATTTGATCTTAATCTATACGTTTTGCTGAGCTGAAGCTTTCTTCCACTGGGTAGTTTCATTAGCATCAAGACGACTCGACATGTGATCAAAATACCAATGGACCTACCTACCATCTCTCGCACTTCATACCCTATTTTGACACCCCTGTAGGTATTACTCGAGTAGCCTTTGGAGACGCTTCAAAATCTCAAAAGAAACAACTAATTTAGCAGATATTCATATTAAGTGTTCAAACATTACGATCATTATCTGGACTAGATCAGCAACATCTTAAGGATTATAAAGAAAAAGGAGTGTTTCTGAGCACTGCGCAAAAAGGCAACCTTGGCCCTGTTGAATACTTCGATGCTGTTTGGAAACATTAAACCAGGATTGTAAAAACTAACATACGTATATGGTTTACATTGAAAGAAGATTGACATGAACAACAGTTGAGTTGACTAATGATAAGTAAAGGTTTGAAAATCCCAAGTTCTGAAGCTGGCCAAATAGTCCACCATGGGATATTATTGTCCGAATTCTCAACAACCGTCCGTGACTTTGGTGACTACTGCTAAACTAATCTCTCTAATCAGACGCGACTTTTGCCCTTAATAATAATTCATTCTCAACCTCCTTCTTCTTTTTTGTTTTTTTAATGCGGTACCTAATTATGTCAAATAATAGCATAATCTGGCAGTTGTGAATGGCGGATCTTATCAGAAAGTTTTTGGATTTTATAGCCAAATTTCTACCAACAGACATGCATGGACAACCTAGTGAGTAGCTGATTATATGTGTTCACATATCGAATATCTCAGTGCATTTTTTTTCCCTTTAAAAACTAATGCACAGTGTAAGATTTAATTCAAGTTTTAAAAAAATGAAGATTCTTTCGTGTGTTGTATAAAACGCAAACATCAGAATTTACAATATCGGTCAATCCGCGTCCTGGTCTATTCTGGCGGCGATAGAAAATGTAAAGAACAGATAAATTATTTTGAGTTTTAAAGAATCTATTAAATTAATACACAATCACTAACTAATAATCCTTTAACAGAAGTAAAAGTTAAAAGCTTCGATTCTACCGACTGATCCAACACAAAAAAATTATCACCATATTAATCCATAAAGAAGTGATCAATCATAAACAGGTAAAAGAATATTCCAGCTGGTGGTGAGCTGCATTTATAAACCCACCAATGGCTCACCAAAAAGGAGGTAATTTAAACCAGGATACAAAAGATATTGATCTCGCTATTCAGATATTAATAAATCCCTCTGCCACGCAAAATAAAGCACTTACATATTAAAAGAAGATGAACAACGTTTGCAAAAGAGGATTCACATTATTAACAACTCATTTCATTCCATTTGTCAGGATTTGCCAAAACGCTTCGTGTCAAAGCACGAATGAATGATCAGTCTCATGAGCTTTCCCTTTAGTGGGTGTATCAAAACATTTCCAGGTTGGTTATGAATATTTTATATATTAATGCTGATGCACGAACTTGTTCTGTACTGCGCCAATAATTTAAGCAGAAAAAGAATATTGCCCACTCCCTTGTGATTAGCCTTTTGGTTTTTTCTTTTCAAATGATCAAATAACGTCTTGATGGTGGAATCCTACTGAAAAGAATCACGGAAAGATCTTCGTTTCCTACAACAGGTATCCTTAAAGGCAGCAAGCCTAGCACACAGAATGAAACTAGCTTCTTAGTTGTATTATTGATCCCAGAGAAGAAATATAATTCCTAGTGGCGTCCACTAAGATATACACATATCTTCCCTTACATGCTCTTTTAATTATAAGATGTGTTTTGCACATAAAAAAAAGTTGAAGCCACATGGTTAGGCCGTCTTAATTTAAACTCTTGAAAGCGCACAGATGCTATATTCTTCTGCTGTTACACATGCAGACACGTAAGTGGTTGAAGGAACTGATGATGATTAATTAATATGGGTATCTGTTTTCTTTTATTTCTTAACAAAATATGAAACTCTCCTGAAATCAATAATTAGTTGAAGTGGGGCTAAGAAATAATTGAAGCAGAAAATTTAGGCTTAAATTTTAATGTGGTATAAGTATTCGTTTCCTGGTTTAGGCAGATTTCAAACCAGAACCTGTCAGGAAGAAATGAAAGAGGGAAGGGTAAAAGTAAAAATTCAAAAGAACCCAATAAAAAAGACCATTACTTTTTGTGGTGTGACGGTGAAGAGTGACAGTGAGAGGAACAAAATAATTTTGAAAATGACCAATGGTGGGAAAAATCCTCCATTGAAGGGATCTTGGCTGTAATCCAGAAAAAGAATAGTGGAGTGTGAAAGTGTACTGATGGGCCCATATATAATACATGAAGCCTGAAGGGTTAGATGAAAGTTGACCTTTAGTAAGGACTAAAACGACAAAAAGGGAGCTGGGGGTGGTGTGGTCTAATGATGAAAAATTATTTGTTGCATAGTGGGAAATTGGTTTTTGGAATCCATGTGTTCA